GTATGTCAACTGCACCGGTTTACTATGAGATCACTTATTTCTGTTACAAAGATGTCACAATTGCTACTAGCTATTAGATGTCAAATTTGTAAAGTTTGATAATTTTTTTTTTTGGACTTTGAATCTATTTAATGACACACTCGTAGAAATATGAGAAACAAGTGATTGTAATCTTCTCGTATTAAAAGTAAATGGTCTTTTTTATATACTTTCTCTTTTATAAAATAATTGCTATGCAAATCAAATATTGAGGATAAATACTACCACCCTCTGCTGAAAGAGTAGTTACATGCCCAAAGAAGATTCAATATTTTTGCTCATACATTATAACATTGAAAGACGAACCTTATTTCGTTTTCCAAAATTGCAAACACTGATTGCAACGCATGTATTTATTTATTTACACTTCTCCTTATTCTTTTCTCTTTAGATACAAAGTTTGGCTTCCACCTAATTGATCAACATCTAGGGTATATGTGATGGGCTTCATATAAGATTCTATGGGAGTGGACGGGGTCGGAAGCTCCTCCTGTAAATGCTCATGAACTTCGCCACAAATTCTGCAGTAGGAATAGAAAGAAAAGGAAAATTAAAATGGACAAACTTTATTTTAAAAAATATTGCATCGTACTTTTCAAACAGTGTATAACTGAGCTATCATGGTAGTTACATTTACCTTCAAGTTTAAGGAGTGCACTGGTGCCCTCAGGCATCCTCTTGTCCTGTCAAAATCCAAAGTGTGTATGGGTATATATCAATTTTAAACCAAAAGATATTGTACTCCTTTGGGAGTATATTGTTTGTTTAATCCCTCGGGAGAAACCCCACTAGCATTAATTTAAGACCCCATTGGGGATATAACCTTTTTAACACAGAGAAATACTTTTTATAATTGCAGTCTCTAAGCACCTAGAAAAAAAAAAAATGTCTTAAGATTGAATAGAAACCATTCAATCTTTAAAGGATGACATCTCAGTGTTAGAAAACTCAAATTTCAATTTGTTTTCTTTGTTTTAGAATAATCATCTAGTGATTCTAAAGTGCCTACCAAAATTTCAGATTGAAAAAATCTTCCTAAGCATGTCATCTGACAAAAGGGAGTAGAAGTAAAGTATGTTTCTGAGGAAGCATGGCATACGTGCTCCATGTTTAACACTAAGCCCTCAAAATGTTTTCTAGTCTGATTATAATAGCACTCTTCAAATAAATGAGAAATATGCCAAAATAAAGGGGTAACTCGTGAGGCTTACATAGTAGGCATGCCAATAGTAGAGCTCTCTCTTTATCCCACTGTCAACTCCCCTAAGAAACTGCTCCACAAGTTTCTGCAAAATCACCCAACCACCATATCAATTAGAACCTCCCTCCCTCCATATCTCTCTCTCTCTCTCTCTCTCTCTTTCTTTTCTTTCTCTATCTAGATTTGAAAATACCAGAAGTATGAGCTTCGGATGGACAAAATCCACAAGGAGTTTCTGAATCTTCACACGTGTGTAAAAATGTCTGCACTTTGCAAATGTACACATAGAGTTGAGTTAAATCCAGAGAAGTATAGAATGAATACTAGGTGACCACAGTTAATCTTGACTATTGGATGTGAAATTGGGTGGCTGCATTTATTTCATGGACCAAACTCAATATTCAAGAGGATTTTTTTCGAACTTTCTGATGCATCCAAGCTATTAAATTTCACATCAAATGGTTACAAGTAACTGTGACCTCCTCATAACAAAGGTAAATAATATCGTTGTATACGATCCCATAGCATATTCCCGCATTATGCACACAAACAGCAAGCTCTCTCTCTCTCTCTCTCATGCAGCACATACCTTTTGGGAGAGGGGTCGGCTAGAAGTTCTGTGGAAATTTCAACTACAAGGTCCTCCCACCCAAGTGGAATTGGCTGCTCATCAATGAAGGGATAGCTGCTCAAATATTTCAAAGAAACCAGAAAATAATTACCGATTAAATTAAATGAATCCATAAACTCATAACAGAGAGAGAGAGAGAGAGTGAGAGAGAGAGAGAGAAATGAATTCATAAACTCATAACCGAGAGAGAGAGAGGGGGGTACTTGTGTGCTCTGCATGCTTCAAGAGCCATTACCGCTCTTCTCAAATTCTGCTTGGATTTTGTAGCGATTTTAGCCGCTAAACTCATGGGAAGATCGATATTCTCCTTCCGCGCGATCTGAAGGAGCACCTCCATTATCTGATGTAAAAGAAAATCAAAAGCAATGTTTTTTTTCAATGTTTTAAAAATTGGATCGGTGGGTCACATCATTCACCCACAAATCTGTGTCAGATGGCTAGAATAGATCGACAATCTGAATTGAGTTTGAAGCGATCCAAATAGGTGATCGAAAAAAATTAAAGCATGAATAAAATAAAATAAAAATAAACATACGGGTTTACGTGGGGATTTAAGAGGACTTAAAAAAAACTTTAGAAAAAGTTCAAAAAAAGAAAATAAAAAAAATATAAGCTGTGTTTTAAGGGAGAAGGGAGCCATGATCCATACCATCTCCGAACCAGTTAATCCCGACCAATTTTCATCAAGATCAACCGTAAAAATCGGAAATTGATGAATTTTAAAAGACTAGTTTTTCTAAATAACATTCAGTCCTAATTAATAAGTGGCATCTGTCCACTACATGTAATGTAGTTCAGGATGAACTATTAACATGCAACTACGAGATAGTCATTTTAGGTGAAAGTCTACCATGATCCACGAAACCGCACGTGAGATGTGGTCATGTGGGTCATCACTGGGCCATCAATAGGATGGACGGTGATAGACAGAGCGGAGCATCCAAGTGAAGCTATTCATTGGGAAGACATGTGGTAATGCGGATCATCGTCATATCGCATCCAAAACAGTGATAAATGTGAATGACATTTAGTCGGACGCGAAATAAAGATGGCTAAAAATACATCCAAGGAAAGCTTTCCATGTGACCCACCCACACATATACATAGTATATGCGGCCCTTGATCTCAGTTGTCAGATATGAGTAGATGGTTGAAATAACTTGAGTCACAATGTCACAATCTTACTCTTGGGCTCATAATGTTTTATTTAATTTTTATTCTATAAATTGTTTTGCAGCCAAATTGGGGGTATGCATACATCTATCTAGGATGCACATGATAAAAATAATAATAAACAAATTTAATGATAAAAATTAGCAAAATACCCTCGAATCTTTTAGGGCATTTTGGTCATTTCTTTTCATGACAAATATTTTTTCTATTTTTGCTTGGTCCCAATAAAAAGATGGGACGTCCCAAATTTCAACCAAACAGGTTTTGTAAAAAAAATAAAAAATAAAATAGTATTTGGTATGACATTGTGACATGAGCGATTTAAAACATCGATGTAGATCGAACAACTGAGAAGTGGGATCAAACATAATTTATACGTGGTTGGGGTCACACATAAACCTTTCCCAACACATAAAACTAGCAAAATGATGGCATTATTAGTGATTATAAATACAGAGAGAGAGAGAGATATAGGCTAGTAAATTTTATGTAAAGGCTCACTTCATGGGTAACAGGGGCATCCAACTTAATCACTTGGCAGCGGCTCTTGACAGATTCTAGAATTTGGGTGTCATCTTCACATGAGAGTACGATTTTGCATGTATCAGTATAGCAATCCATGACCCACTTTATCAAATGTTGAACTTCTTCTCCTAGCTTCTCAACCTCATACAAGACAATCACTGTTATAGACAAAGAAATCTGTATCACATTTGGTGGAAATTCAACTGGAACTTGTGTCTACTATGGAAAAGAAGAGGTAGGTTTGTCCAAATTTAAAACCATGGTCTCTTTTTTTTTTTTTGGGTGAATAAAAAATGATAATCATGGTACAAAGCACACAAGAAGACAATTTATTTTTGCATATGTGGTTAGGGGGGTAGATGCCTGAACATAACGTTCTGCGCTCCATTCCCACCGTTAACATATCAAAATAAAAAAAACATAAATTTTTTTTAACAAAAAGTTAAAATCACCCTGATTGTCGGATGTGAAATTTAGTGGCTTTGGGTGTACCATTGACTGAGCCCAAAGTCTTGGGATAATTTCTTCAAACTTCATATGGAGAGATGAAACACCTCAGCATCCCATTTTACATTTGATGACTTGGGGTGTTTGGGACCTTTTTGCAAGTCATAAAGTGCAATATATAGCATGTTATTTTGAAGGCTTTATTATACCTTTAAAATCTGGTCTCAAGCTTATATCACTGTCTTCAGGGGGAGGTGCATCAGTGTTGATCAACTCTTTGATTAGAGACATAAGAATATATCTACCATTCTTTGGCTCCTTGTTTAAATTGAGCTCCAAATGATGAAGGCTAGAAGTCACAGCATGAATCACGTGGCCTGATTTTAGTTCCTATCATGTGTTTCGTTGAAATGCTTGCATTAGAGTATAATCTATTGTTTTTAACAATTGCCTTTTAGGTCACATTTGGTACCTGTCAAATAATTTTATGAGAGTATTTTCACATGAAAGAACTTTCCCATGTGACTAAATGTAAGAGTTTTTTTACACCAGAGTTTTTTTACACCAATTGATTCTATCATATTCTTTCACACCAATTGGCAGTCATTTGGTGTAAGATAACTCCAACTCCTAATCACATCAGGGAGTTCTTTTATGTGAAAATACATTCACATAAGTATTTTCATGTATGCCAAATGTGCACTTAAGTCTATGAAAAATAAAATCCAGTTTTATATCATGTGGTCTTAATAGCACTAAAACATTGACAATACCTCGAAATAGAAGGTCCTTAAAGCAGAAGAAACCTGCAAAAAGATAAAAGGACGAGAATTTAGCTTGTTGTTTTTCTTAATCTTGGTAAGAAAAAGAAGGAAGAAAATATACATGCAAGGGTAAAGTGGTTTTTTGTTTCCTTTCATAAAGACTGGAAAACTAAGGTATACATACATTTGCAGCTGAATCTCCAAAGATTTCACGTAAAAAGGCTTTGGTTAGTGCTTTCTTCCCTGAACCAGAAGGTCCCTTGAACATAACATTGGGACAATTATTTTGGGAAATCTGCATTTAATTAAAACACAAGAAAGATTAGGACAGAAAATAAAGCAAAAAACGGTTAATAATCAGGTATTCTAAGTGTGGAGCGGCTTGAAGGTGCGAATCTCGAACTACATATTTCTAAAGTGTGAAATCAGAGATTTTGAGAAAGGGGTTGGGGTCGTGGTGATAGCACTACTTGTGCCCCAACTAACTAAGATCTAGGCTTCTATTCTTACCTAATGTTTTAAAAATCACTAACAATTTAGAAAATGGGTAGGGGCTTGCCATCCATATTGAACTACCCAAAAAAAAAAAAAAAATCAGTAGCTTCAAACTGCTGGAAATTTTTTAAGTATGGAGGATTCAAATGAGCGTCCAATCACTCCATACAACTTCAAACTGCTAAAAAATTTCAAGTTTAGAGAATTCAAATGAGCGTCCAATCACTCAAATTCTTTCAAGTATGGAGCGGTTCGAAACTGTTGCCTTCAAACCACTCCATATTTGATGTATATTTACAAATGGGTGGTTCGAAGTTTATAAACTCGAACCGCCCCATAAATTGGGTGGTTTGATTGAAGTAGCCTTATACCACCCTAGAGATTACCAAATTTTGAAAAAACGAAAAAATATGGTTGGTTCAATGTTGCTAATATGTAATTGGGACAAAACTAGGATAAAAGAGAACCAAAAAGTAAAAGATGCCCGCATAAAATGATAAAAAATTGGACCATGTAGTAATACCACAAATTGTTTCTGGTCCATGTGTAAATTTTCCTAGAAAAAAGAACATGAAAACTTATGCATTACTAGCTGTTTGAGACGTTGGGCTTGTTCTTTTTGGCAAGTGAACTCAGCAAGTGTAGGTGGGCTATGCTTATCTGCCCAAAACTCCCTTAATCTCTCAACCACAAAAGCCTTCTCAATGAAAGAAGCCTCATCAAGGTCTCTCTTATCAGGGGACTTCTTCGAACCAGTCCTACAAACCCCTCCTCTCTTCACACACGAAAACCATGTCGTGTCTTTCAGTCTCTCTGCAACAAACATGTTGCCAAAACTCCTGCTGCTTCCAAGATGGCTGCTTTTGCTCATAGCAGAGGCTGAAGCTGTTGAGTTTGTTCTTGATAATATCCCACTACTTTCTGATCGTAAATTCTTCAGTGCAACTATAGCTTTGGGAGCTTCAATCTTTTCCTGTGATGGGGAAAATATGTCTTTGAGAGCTTCAGTCTTTTTCTGCGAGGGAGAAAACCATCATTAGAGATAATCAAAAGCATTTTATGCCCAAGAATAAGAAGAACATATCTTAAGATACTGCCCAAGAATAAGAAAAAACTATACCATACACACTGAACTAGTGGGGTACCCGTCCTTGTGGAAGACCCCCTTGGTTTTGGCCCAGTTCCTACTTCCTAGTGTTTTTTAAACTTTTTAATGCTTCTGTAAAAGAAACCCCCAAGCTGGCTCAAAGAGAACGAATAGGCTCAGTGAGTGAGTGGTGGCCCATCAACATACTTTTTCGAAAGGGGCTAGGGTCGTGGTGGCAGCACAACACCCACGACAAGCTAAGCACAACACCCGCGACAAGCTAAACACCACGTTGTGGTTTTATTTCCACTGGCACCATTCTACTAATAATTTTAAAAAACTAAATCCTAAATTATTTGAAAAATAAATGAGTAGGGTCTGTGTTCCCCACTGAATTACCTAAAAAAAGAAAAAAAGGAAAAAGTGATCGGTGAATGAATGTTCTGTTTTTTAGAAGAAAAAGTTATGTGTGTACGTAGGGAATTATGGAGAATTTCAAATTTTTTTAAATTTTACCACGAGTTTTTTTTTTTCCTTTGTCCAGTGTTCTAAACATGGGGGGTGTGTTTTTATTTTTTATGTTTTTTGAAGTGCCAGGCCGATTTGAGGTCTAGATCCTCAGAGCACTTGGCTTTGAACATTGTGAATGCCAAGTGGTGCGACTGGTCCTGGAACTGTGAATTTCAATCCAGGGATAGGTCTGGGGTGCCAAACCTCAAACCACTTAGTTTACTTGAACGTTGTGCAAGCCATGGGATCTGAGGTTCTAGACCTCATACTGCGACTTGGACTGCATGTGGAAGCAAGTGGTCCGAGGTCTAGAACCTCATATCGGACCTTACACTTCAAAAAATTTTAAATAATAAAGTAAAACAAATTGTCCAATTTTTGGAACATTAAAACGAAGGGCAAAATTAGAAAAAAATAAATACAAGTGAAAAAAAGAAAAAAGAAGTAGGAGCCGATGTTGGAAGATCAGACCAGTATACCTCTTTGTAAATCTTGATAAATTTTAGACCTCCATATAATTATAATTTCAATGCTCTTACGGGTGTAAATTTTTCTTTTCAAGGTTGGAAGTATTTGTTGTATTTTACAAAGAAAGTCACCATTATTGCGTTTTGTGCATACTCACCTTATAAGCACCCGTGAAGGTATTTCACTTTTCCATGAATCTTCCCATTTCCTACGATATGTATCTTATAACACTAGTGTCATTATTACATTTATTATTGTTACAAGGAGGTCACAATTGCTATTAACCACATGTCAAATTGGATGGTTTAAGATATGACTCAAAGTTTGAAGAATTTGTTTTAGAACTTTGAGTATAGTTAACGACAAACTCACAACTATCCAATTGAAATTTGACAGAAAAAAGTGATTGTGATCTCTTTGTATTAAAAATAAATGGTTTCTTTATATAAGTTTTAAAAAAGTATATAAGGAGACCATTTATCTTTGGTATAAGGTGGTCACAATTAATCTTGACCAGTGGATGTAAAATTAGATGACTGTATTTATTTTTTACCAAGCTCAAACTTCAAAAGGAATTTTCTCGAACTTTATGAGACACCTAAGCTATCAAATTTCGTATCGAAAGGGTGTAAATACTTATATGACCTCCTTATATCAAAGATAAATGGTCTCATGGAATACAATAGCATACACTTACCATGATTGTATGGATCTAGGGACCGTTTGGGTACATGGAAATGTAATGCCTGTGAAATACATTACTATAGTAATATATTATCGGCATAGTATATTACTTGAAAATAGATTGTTATTGTTTGGGTAGAATCTGGATGCAATCTGGGAAATACAATGCTATTGTTTGGCTACATCCGGAAGAAATTTGAGAAGTACATTACTGTCTTTTTATTTTTATTGTTTGAATATTGATTTGACGACTCAATTTAAATTTCTCAGGCTTAGAAGATATCAATTTGGCATAATGATTCATAAATTATTCATTATTATAATTATCAAAACCAACTATCAGAATCGCTTTGGAGTATTCTTCGGTTTGGTGAGAAAAACGAAACAATTCGGTGGCTTGGCCAATTTGGAGGAAGACTTCATGCTTTATTTTTAATTGAATATAAATAAATTAGACATTTATATATAAAATAATAGAAAAAAATTAAAAATAAACAATTTTTTTTAAAAAAAAATCTATATAGATATTTCTAAGCAGACCCGAATCTAAGCAAAGCAGTATGAATCTGACCAAAACGGCAACATCAGGCTTCACTTTGCTTCGGTCTAGGCCTAAAATCCGAAGCCGAAGCGAAGCGAATTTGACAACACTACTACCAAGAGAAAAAAGGTAAAAACATTAAAGATATTAGCTTCCATTAAATTTTCATTTAATATATAAAAAATATGCAATAATGCATTTGAAAGAAATAAGGCTTCAAATAACTTGTAAGAAAGAAAATAAAAAATGTAATATCTTGGAATATGTAAAAACGGACCATTTGCAAGAATGGACCTTCCTTGTAAGGATAGAACACCTTTCAAACGGACTTCAAATGACTTTCAATGGTAATAATAGAGGCATACGGGTCCTACGGGGATGGATTACCCGTCACTCCCCATTCTCATCCGGAAAATGGATTTCATGATTTTCACCGTAATTTATTTCGTTTCACTGTAATTCGTTTCATTTCAAGTGTATATTTTGCGTACCTAAACGTTGAAGATTAGCTATATCTCCCCGTAATGGATTATCACGTACCCCAACGGTTCTATGCAAAGCTTTTGTAGTCCATTACCATGGGGTCATTGCCTCCCATCATTAAGTTGGACGGTGATGGACGGGGGCACATCCCACAAGTTGTTAGCCTCCTTCAACATCGTCCAACCAATTTATCAGATGGCAATGACCACACTGATATCCATGATCATGTGGATCACAGTACACTTAACACTTACCCTTCTCATTCTATCTATGGTCCTTATAGAAAGTCAAAGATATCTACAAAGGATGCAATGCCCGAAATTTAGTTTTCATTATCCGAAAAGTAGAACGAAAAATTGGAATATCAACCTTGGCAGGAAAGGCGCTTTTCTTCGCAGCCGCAGGTTTGGCCACGTGTGAGAAGAAGAGGTCCCCAGGCACGATCGAGTCATTGCTATTATTCTCCACCATGGCAACAACCAACGGCTTGGATTTCTCCATCTTAGCGTTCCCATCACTCCCGGCCGTCGGTACCTTCTGCCGAGCCGAACCATGTTTCTGGACCGAAACAGATCGACGGTCCGGATTAGATCCCGAAACCCTGGAAGGGCTCGTATCCATTCGCGGATACGGTGATTTACTGCGCCTTGTTGCTTTGAACTCTACTTCCTTTTCTTCTATACGTATTTTATAGGGAGATGTACGACTCATTGAAGCCTTGTGATTGTTTTCTTCCACTAAGCTTTCTTCTTTGTGTATTTTATACGGGGACTTCTCTCTACGTATTTTATACGTCTTTTCTCCATTTTTTTTATCACCTCGTTTCTTATACGGTGACTTTACACCGGCGCCATTCTTTTCTGCGGCGTCGTCCATACGTGTTTTATATGGTGACTTGCTTTTGGCGGCACGATCATCTCTACGAGGTTTATACACTTCCGTGTCGTCGTCTTTGCGTGTTTTATCAGGGGAGGAGTGTTTCTGAATTCGGCCGTATGGGCTGGTATTTCTGGCCGTTGATCTGGGTGGATCTCCGGCCGTGGATTTGCGGATGGGGTCTTTTCTCTTGGGATGGATCCAAGGGCCATCTTGCCACTCGGATTCTGTATCGGACGGCTCGTATCCGCTGGTTCGCCTGTACCTTTGCTTGATAGAGGAGGATGACCTGGTCTGCCTATCCATGACGACCAACCCACCCTCAAAAACACTCTCGCCTCCTCCTCCGCCTCCTCGCTCTGTATATGGAGACTGTGAAATGGGGAGAAATGACTATAATGTCCCTGAATTAATCGTCACCATCTCTTTAATCTCCCTTGGGAATGAGTGAAATTGTTGAAGGGCTTTTTGGTCCATTATAATCATAGGAAACACCGTTGCCCAGCTAAGATGGTTTCGAGGGAGCGACTGCTTCTAAGTTCCAAATGGGGGCCCATATTTGCGACAGAGAAATCATGGACGGACAGGATTACAGATACGTGCGAGCAATGGGGAGATCGGGTCCGTCCAGTAATGTGCTTTCTAGTTTATATTACTTAGGCCTTGTGTTTTGTATGTGGAGTTGGATAGATTAAGTCGAGAGGCATGTTTTGTCTTCTCGGTGCGGGACAATTCCCCTGGGAATATTCGGAGGCTTGGAATGGTGGGATCAGAGCCGTCCATATGCACGGAATCAAAGCTAAGACGTCCATACCAGGGAATCAACAGCTAAACCGCCAGAAGCTGAGAGTGGGTCCCATCGATTCTCACCGTAACAACATTTGATTTGATGACATAAGGTATCGTGTCAATGCTTGATAAAACGCTCATAGGGATTGGAATCGGTCCAGGGAATCAACAGCTAAACCGCCAGAAGCTGAGAGTGGGTCCCATCGATTCTCACCGTAACAACATTTGATTTGATGACATAAGGTATCGTGTCAATCCTTGATAAAACGCTCATAGGGATTGGAATCGGTCCAGGGAATCAACAGCTAAACCGCCATAAGCTGAGAGTGGGTCCCATCGATTCTCACCGTAACAGCATTTGATTTGATGACATAAGGTATCGTGTCAATGCTTGATAAAACGCTCATAGGGATTGGAATCGGTTCAGGGAATCTTTGACAACTATTCGGTTCCTGAAAACTATCGGGAACTGGTGGGTTCTCTTTGTGGTTTATACAGTTTTGGTTGGTACTTTGAAAGAACTGGCTGATTCAACTCGTCACATTAAGCTCAACTTTTTTTTTTTTTTTAAATAATTTATTCGGTAAACCAGATCATTGATCGAAATTGCTAATCCACCAAATTGGATTGGAAATCTAGACGGGCGATCCAAGTTGTCGATGCATCTTTTTAAACTTTGTAACAGGGGTTGGTGCAACGACCGTGTGATGTGGGCGCCTGAAGGTGCACAAGTGCCCTTTAATAACACAAATTGAACCCATTATTATCCAATGGTCCAAAAACGTTTTTGTATTTTATTTTGTATTTTATTTAAAATTTTAGATATTGGTGTATTTTTATATGACCAATAAAATAATAAAAAATAAAAAATATTTTGAACAAAAATGTTGATCAAAATACTTCTAAATAATTTAAGAGTATTTTAATCAACTTGTTCAAATTATTTTTATTTGATATACCATATGAAAGTGCATCTATAACCCCAATTCTACTTAAATATTATTTTTAAATAAAAAATCCAAAAGTCTTTCCAGGACATTGGATGCGGCCATGTTTAACTTGAGCCATTGAAAAGATGCTTGTGCACCCTTCTACGGTTCACATGATAAGGGCATGAGACTTTCCCTTGAATAGTTTAGGGTTCAAAAACGTTACGAATCTAGGGCATAAACAGGTCAAGCCTGGACTAGCTCAACTAATCCAAGGTCAGACCAAATAAGGACCCAATTGGGTCCAAGTCGATCGGACCCTAGACATGATTTGCCAGCTTAGGTT